GCCTTCTTTAAAATTCAATGCATATGTAAAGAAATATACGGTAACCCGAATTTACCACACTCGCAAAATCGCACACAGCCAACCATACACCCAGTATGGTATCGCGATTCGTGATTTTGCGCTATCATACTGGGTGTATGGTCGGCTGTGTGCGATTTTGCGAGTGTGGTAAAATCGCATAACAGCAAAATTGCATAACAGCCGAGCATACACCCAGCAGCGCTGCTGATGCCTGAACGGTATGTGGAATGAAGTGGGCGGGCATCGGGAGGCCACTATGGCACGGGGCAAGCACTATGGGCAGTCTATCTGAAGTGTACCTGGCGTATAAGACGACCCCCCACTTGGAGGCATATTTTTCAGGGCCAAAAAATCGTCTTATACGCCGGCAAATACGGTAGGTTAAAACTTCTTGGCTAGGTTGATGAGATGGGCAGAAGTGATATATCATTTGAATCAAGGAAACAAAACTCAAGTTGGAGAGAGTATATGGCTTGGGATATCTATCCACTAACACTTATTTGGGGCTTTGTGTTTTGTTGTGTTCTAGAATCTATACTCCATTCACAGAAGACACCGAGACTGTGGGCCAGAGAGCCCTGCACTCGATTCTGAATGCTGCTATCATGATCAGCGTCATTGTTGTCATGACTATTCTCCTGGTGGCTCTATATAAATACAGGTGCTATAAGGTGAGCATGAGAGACAGCGCTTTGCTTTCCACCATATTCTTATGATTGGGTTTTCTATCTATACTTTACTTGGTCCAGTAAAGAAAAAGGTCTTAACCCTGGCTGGTGTGGTTCAGTGATTGGAGTGACAGCTTGCAAAGGGTCGCAGGTTCGATTCCTGATCATAGGCACATATCTGGGTCGTAGGTTCATTGCCAGCCTCAGTCAGGAGCATGTGCGGGAGGCAATCGATGTGTCTCTCACATTGATGTTTCTCTCTCTATCCCCCCTTCCACTCTCTCTAAAAATCAGTGGGAAAATATCCTCTGGTGAGGATTAACAACAACAAAAAAATACATATTAAAATAACTAACATATTTTACCTATTGACTTGATAAAGATTAATCTAGCCTTTTTTTTTATAAGTCACTAAACCAGTGTGTGTCAATAATGATTAGAAAAAGTTTCTAGACTTTGATTCAGTAATTTTGCTTTCATGATTTATTCTGAAGAAAGAACTACAAATGCTGAACATATTTGCATGCTGGATATTCATCCTAGCACAAATTATAATTGGGGAAAAAAACACTGACAAATTTATGCATAAGGAAAAGGTTAAATTGTCAGTTCATCTATATAAATATAATATTACTGCCATTTAAAAATATATTTGGTGGCAGAATATATCTGTGACAAAAAAGTATTAAAATGCAGAATGTAAAACTATTATTACTTGGTTCTGATTTTTAAATTTTTTGTTGTTGTTGTTAACCTCATCTGAGGATATTTTTCCCATTGATTTTCAGAGGTAGTAGAAGGGAGGGAGGGAAAAGGAAGGAAGTGGGGAGGGAGGGAGGAGGAAAGGAAGAAGGAAGAGGGGAACGAAGGTGAGAGAGAGAAACATCGATGTAAGAGACACATTAATTGGTTGCCTCACACATGTGTCCCAACCAGAGTGGGGAATCAATGCTCCAACCCACTGAGCCACCCAGGCCAGGGCAATACTGTGTTTCTAAATAAACAACATCTTCATGTTCCCTTGCTAAAAATCAAAACAAAACAAAATAATAAGGTAAAAAGCATTTCTCAAGAAGGATGAGAATTTCCAATTTTTAATACTTACTCCAGCCTTTAATGTGGAGCCTAATATGGAATAGCAGTATACATCTTCCACTCGCTAAAGCTTTTCTGTCCCGTGATATTGTGTATGCTCTTTAAGTTTTGTAACTTGGATTATTTCAAAGCTCAGGCTTGTGAGTATGAAGGGGCACGATGAAAGTAAGGAGATATCTTTCTGCTCAAGTTCTGTTGTTTTTTTTTTTTTATTTTTTCCAGATGAAATAGAGTAAGGGTTTCCTTTAGAATATTTTGTTAAAGTAGAAGTATTTAGAGAGAAATGTACAGGTATCTTCAGGTTAGGAGAGATGGATAGAAATGTTACAAAGCAAGTATAGCAAAACGTGAGTATAGAATTTAGGTAGTACATGGGTGTTCACTGTACAAATCTTTAAACTTTGCTGTGTTCAAAATTTTTTATAATAGAATGTTTGTGGAAGAACACCAGAAGTTAAATTTGATAAAGTTTTTTAAAGAAATAGAGACAGTAAAATTAAGTAATTTTTCTTTTTTTTTATTTCAGAGAGGAAGGAAGAGGGAGAGAGAGAAACATCAATGATGAGAGGCAATCATTGATGGCTGCCTCCTGCAAGCCCCCCACTGGGGATCGAGCCTGCAACCCGGGCATGTGCCCCCGACCAGAATCGAACCTGGGACCCTTCAGTCCTCAGGCCAATGCTCTATCCGCCGAGCCAAACTGGCTAGGGCAAAGTAATTTTTTAAAAAGAATTCATAATCACAGATCACCTTGGGTGATCAAAACAGAACCACAAGAGCAAATGAACATAAACCCTAATCATATCTAGACTTTGCTAGCTTAGAGTCTGATTATCTGAACAACTGGATCTGGAGGTTAGGGTTTGGGAGATTTAGAAAAAATGAAGACAAAACAGTATTCTTAATTTGGAGGTTTTCTTTCCTTTTTTCAAGGTTCAATTTGATCTGTTCTGGTTAAGAGATATGTTTGGAAATGTTATTAAGTAGCTCCTTCTGTCATTAAGTAATAAAGTTCATTGAAATTAAGCAAATAATGGTTCTATGCACCTTGGAATAATTTCACTAAGTTCTTGACAATTTATCATGCTTATTCTGTTTTTAAAAACTCCATGCTTTTAGGTTGTATAGTATTTTCCCAAATGTACCCATTACATAAAATTACCATTTAAAATTTTTATCTTGTGTAACAGATTATAAAAATCAAATTCTGATCGATTTCTCACATAAATAAACTGAACATGAGTAATAGAGACTAATATTTATATAGGACTCTGAACTCTGCATGATAATGATTTTCAAAGAATTTGTAATAATAATAATACATTTGTAATGGAAAATAAGTGTAGAAAGCATTGCAATACTTATTGAAACTTAATCTGAATGGTTTTGTCAAATGGTTTGTAGTTTAGAAAGCCTATTTACTCTGTACAGTTAATGTGTACATGCATAGGTCACCTAACTGAATAGCTGATTTTCCAGTTTATTGAATGTTATTTATCAATTATCTTATTTCATTTAATTTATTATTTATTCCAGGAACAGTAAAAATTTCCTCCACTGAAAATATTGCTGCTTTAAAGTTTAAATGTCAACTGTTGACCCTATTGATAATTTGGCATTTTAGAATTCATTGTTTTTAAAATTTTATCTATTTTCAAAGGAATGAGAGTCTATATATGTCTTGCTGAAATTTCTATTTACCATTATGAGTTGTTCTGCCCCAAAGAGTTCTATATAAAAATGCACTGAGCCCTAACTGGTTTGGCTCAGTGGATAGAGCGTTGGCCTGCAGACTGAAGGGTCCCGGGTTCAGTTCCAGCCAAGGGCACATGCCCGGGTTGCAGGCTCGATCCCCACTAGGGGAAGTGCAGGAGGCAGCCGATCAATGAGTCTCATCATTGGTGTTTCTATCTATCTGTCCCTCTCCCTTCCTCTCTGAAATCAATTAAAAAGTATATATATTATTAAAAAAAAAGAATGCACTGAACCCAAAGCCATATGTGTTCAACCATTTGAAAAGAATAACATATACAGAAATAATATACTATTTTTGAAGAAAGAAATTTGCAATTTATTTGGGTCATGGGCTCTCTTATTTATATTGAAATTCTTTTCTAGGTCATCCATGCCTGGCTTATTATTTCATCTCTATTGTTGCTGTTCTTTTTCTCATTCATTTATTTGGGGTAAGTGGTGAAATACTTGGTCTATTTTTCAGAAATTAATTCTGTTAGGGGTCTCTATCTTTTAAAGCCATGTCCTTTATTGATGAATTACTCTTAAATTATAATTGTTTCCATATGTAGGTCATACTTGGGTATATATATGATGAGTTAATATAAATAGGAATATTCTTTTATTGATCCTTGCTTATAATAAGTAGAACTGAAAGAACTCAAGACTATAATCAGTTCTAAGTCTTTTTTAGTGAAGAACTTATCTAATTATTTTAATAAAGAATTTTTTAAAAGTCTATAAATCAGATTGTTAACAAAGGATTTCAAGAAAGTATATGCATGATTTAATTGCTTTTCAATTTTTTATATAGTTTTATAAGTTGTTTTTTCTCTCAAATGAAATCTTATTTGAAAATTTCACATGTAAAATAGAAACAAGTAGAACTATCTGTCGAAAATAGTAGAGAGGCTCAGAGATTTGCCAGGCTCAGAGATTTCTCAACCCCAGTGACAGAATCAAGTTTGTAAGTCATTGGGATAGATCTTATATTAGGAACAGAAGCAATAAAACTAATACATAAATTGCCCCAGGCTGGTGGCTCACTTGGTTGGAGCATTGTTCCTTACACCAAAAAAAGGTTGCAGGTTTGATTCCAGGTCAGGGTACATACCTAGGTTGCCAGTTTGATCCTGTGTTGGGCACGTAAGGGAGGCAACCGATTGATGTTTCTCTCTCCCCTCTCTCTCTCTGCCCCCCTTTCCCGTCCTGTCTCTCTAAAGTCAATAAGCATATCCTCAAGTGAGGATTTAAAAAAACAACAACTAATGCATAAATTTAAGAGTTTGGTAGAGGCAGTGGGAATAAGGACAGACAAAAGAAACAAATGTGAGAATCTATAAGAACTCGGTGGTTTTCTAGAAAAAAAAAGTTCAAAACTGGCCTCTGAAGCAGTAGAAAATCTAAATAGAGGTAAGAAAAAACAGCAGAAAGTTATTGAAAAGGTTCCCATCCTACCTACCAATTAAAATAGTACCAGGCACAAATGGTTTCATATTAAACCTAAGACTGGAAAATTCTAATAGTATTTTAACTGTTCCAAAACATAGAAAAAGAAGAAAATCTTCCAGAATCATTTTATGAAGCCAATATAACATTGATACAAAAAAAAACCCCTATAAATTATAAAGTAAATGGAAACTGTAGACCAATTCCATTTATTTATTTTTTTAAAATTAAATCTTTATTGTTCAGATTATTATAGTTGTTCCTCCTTTTACCCCCATAGCTCCCCTCCACCTGGTTCCCACCCTACCCTCTAACCCCTCCACCCCGTCCTCATCCAGAGGTGCATGATTTTTGTCCAGTCTCTTCCTGCATCCTCCACACCCGTTTCCCCCCCCAAGA